CGGAGGAAAGTATTGGTATGTGCTAAAGCCATCCAAAATATCTAACGACGTCATTCATACGTCTCGCATCGAGGGTCAGCCTCACTTGTCATAGAAGTCTTGTTGCGTCTCGCAGTCCGCGCAGTGGTAGATGGACGCCTTGAAGCCGTAGTGCTCCTCAACCTGCAAGGGGGGTGGAGGATGGTGGGGTTGGCGTACTCAAGTTGCGCTCACCGCAAACTGATCTGGACCAAGAGTCTATTTCGACACGGGGGAGCGCGGCGGTGGACGCGGTACTGCAACATGACATTCGGCTTGTCTGCACGAAAAAAAAGTAAGTGCCATGGAAAGGACGAAATCAACGATAAAGCCATGTTTCCGTCGTAACTCTGCAGTCTCCTTCTCCGTCGGCCCCTCTGTCCTTCGCTATCTCTCTCTCTCTCTCTCCCTCTCGTCCACCTTTTGCGCTCCCGTCTCTCCCGGTCCCCTTCGCAACTTCTCCCGCCTGCTCTCGCTTCGTCTGCATCTCTCTTGCGCTATACCTCGTCTACCCACCCAACGGCAGTAAACCCTGGACACCTAACCCCCCCCCGCCCCCCCAAAATGCGTCTCCATTCTCAACCTGAGCCTCTCTCTCGCTTTGCACCCCCCCCCCGCATCCCGCTCTACGCGAAACCCCTCTCACCTCGTGCAAGAAGTCGAGGGACTCAGGGAACAGGAAGTACGTGTCGACGAACACGACCTTGATCTTGTCCAAGAGACCGGCCTTGGCGATGGCGTCGAGGATGACGCAGTCCCCGGCGATAAGAGCCGTCGTGAAGATCGGGTTCTTCTTCTCCTGCGGGCGCGTTGATTGGTAGGCGCGATGTACATCGGCGGACTTGTGATTCAGCTGTTTGTGCCATGTGAGGTTTCTTTTCTCGATTGGCGTGGGTGGTAATCGATGGACTGTAGCTCGTTAATTCAGTTGCTTATTCATCTTCTCAACCAAGAAAAGGTTTTATGTTGGTCTGCTGTGCTCCGGGCGGGAGGAACAGCGATCTCTAAAAGGCAAGCCACATGCAGGTACACGCAGTGGCACACCATCGTCAACGCTACCCACAGCAGTCCCTCGCAGAACCACATAAAAATTACCTTTCGTGAACACCCGAAGACATGGAGCCAGCATCGAAAGGCGAATGTAGAAAGGATAACTAGCGTTGCATCAGCACGCGCAATGCGTTCGGGGGACAGCGGATCCGGCTTTGGCGTCAGCGGCAACGCAGACTTGTCCCTACCTTCGTCTATCTTGCATACAATATGGATCCCCGGCATTACTACCCAGCGGTCCGGTGAACACAAGATGGATCCCCAGGGGCTATCCGAGGGTTCGAGTGACTACAAGATGGATCCCGGGCATATCTAGCAGCTACCCACGGATGGCCTGGCGGGTACAGCCAACGAGTATATCAGCAGCTCTGTGTTGCTACTCACAGCGACAACCTTGGCGAGGGAGTCCGCGAGCTGGCTCTCCAGGTTGGACATGCGAACCTCCTCGAACAGCTGCGACGGAAACAAGCAAGAGGACGACGCAGAGACAGTACCGAAGGAGACGGATGTCAAGCGCCCTAAGTGATTTGAGCGTGTGTTTGCGCGGGCTTCGTACGAAGAGGATGCAGCCAAGTAGACAGAAGCAGTTGCAGGGCGCGTGCGCGGGGGGTGAGTACGAACCTCCTCAAAGGCTGCATGTACATCGTGAATCACAAGGTTTTGAACGACCTACAGCAGGAGAGAAAGGGACAGACGGAAGGCAGGAAGGCAGGACGGCAGTCCACGGGGTGCGAGCACAGAACACTTGGCATGCTTTTCGACGTGGCAAGACAGGGTCGAGGCAAGGCTGCCTGTTCAAGGCGTCGTCAATGCCTCGATCATACACATCCATGATACACCCCAATCCGCATGAAGCCCACCAACGACAGGTTGGCTTGAAGCACGTCATGATGACTTTCATAGGTCGTAATGTCCGTGTTGTCTAGAAATATGTACATCTTCTTTGTTCAATTGGTCCAGCGAGTGTTGCCGTCGTGTTGCGAGAAATGGGTCAATCGCGGGGTTTATCAGAGCATGTCCGAAGCGACAGTGAAAACCATTTTTCCCTGCTGCCGCGCAGTTGTCCGTCAACCAACCGCATAGAGCAGTGCGGTTGACCTCGTACATACCCGGTGAGGGGGGAGGGGGGGGGGGTTGTACTCATAGTCGTGCATGCCGTAGTCGTTAGACCATTGACCTCGCATCCCTACAAAGCCGGGACGGAGCACGCCGGGTTCTCACCGGACCAGGCTCTCACATCACCAAGCGCGAAGCGCCGTGAGATATTCGGCGGGTCGCATGAAGGGTGCGCTGCATCCTGCAAAGGGTGTTCGGCATCTTGTGCTTACTTCCTTGCGTACGGATGACAGCTGCGTATGACTTCGTTTATTTTCTGGTGCTTTCACTTCCAGAGACAGTTATAAGCACTGTGTAACTGCCTCGAGAGTGCTTGACCATTTTGACACAACGTGGTGCGATCATCCCCCTTGCGCGCAGTGAGGGTTCTCCACCCCGCACAACATGATTTACTCGACCACCAGTATGGTTACCGCCAAAAAAAAAAACAGATGTAAGAAAAAAAAACGGTAACCTGGTTGCCGAGTTCACGAAGTGAATCACGAAGTGAGTTGGCTTGGTTTACAACGTCGTTGCCAAGCGACGAAAACTCAATCTCGATGGTATAAACCGGGGGGAGGGGGGATCGCCAAACATCAAACAATGAAAACAGCCATGCACACCTTGTTCATCTCTGCGTCCTTCCCCTCCCCGTAGTCGGTGCCCTTGGGAATCTGCCCAGAGAAAGAAAGAGCGGCGCGCGAGAAGGGCAACGCGCGTGCGCGCACGGAAAAGGGAGCGTCAGCAAATGTGCATGACTCTGGGTGTGTGTTCAAAACATGACGCCGGTTCCGCATGTTCCCTTTCATGGCGGCAACAGCAGTCTGTGAAGACGTACGATACGCATATGACACGACGTAACCGTAAAAACCGCTGCAGTGTCCTTTGGAAAGCTCGCCCTGCGTCGAACATACAACCACAAAATCGCCGTGTAGCACATGTTGTTCAACACCGGACGAAAGCTCTTCGGGTTGGACAGGTGCGGCAGTGTGGTCAACCGACGCGCGGAGATATCGGCGACAAGCGGGAGCAAAACGGTTAACTGCATGTTGCGCCAAGTCCGTGCAACGTTTTCTTCTAGGACAACATTTGGTAACCAGGTTACAGAGCCTATGCACAGAAGTCGGATCCATCCGAGCGCCCGCGGGTCGTTGGACGGAGCAAAAAAATCCACAAATTCCCACAGACTCTTGTAGCTCTGCTTGTTGCAGCCGTCCGGCATGCTGTATCTCTCCGGGCGTCGGGATTGATGGTTTCGCGATGCCACACGTGACATGCCTTGGGCAAACAAGAGGCCTTCAGCTAGGGTATTGCGGATAATCACCCGAGGTTACGACCGGTTGGCAGCGCAACGCCCCCCCGAGACACCCACAACATCAAGTACGTGGATTGCACGGGCGCCTGCGACGCCGCACACACATCTTGGCAACACATGCAAAAATAAGACCAACAGAAAGTGGTTCATGTGGGATGAACGACGGGCTGAGGCTCTCCTTAACTTGTCGGTACAACGGACCGAGGGAAAGCAGCAGCACTACTTTTGCGAGGATTCGTCTGCCCCAAACGGTGATCTTCTTCAGAACAAGCAACAAGCACTCACGGCGGCGAAGTCCCGAGGGAAGTTGGCGGCGAGCTCGGGGTTGAGGCCCATGCGCATCGGCACGTGCTGCATGGCGCTGGTGGCCGAGCTGCTGACGGAAGCGCGGGTGCTGAGCACCGGCGCCACGGGCACGAAGGCATTGGCCCCAGCGGCCAGCAGGCTCAACATCGCGAGAGACGTCTTCATGATAAATTCCGGGAAACCTGTCAAGCTCTGGCACTGAACAGCACGCCAGCCGGAGTGAGGCAAGGGGGATCGGTGGATAGCGCTGTACGCGTAATCGCTTTCTATCGCGTCTGTTGTGACCCCTCCCCCCTTTGCCTGCCTGCTGCCTGCTGTTCCATTGCTGTTGCATCGACGAGCTCTCTGCTGTCTATAGAAGACGAGTGTGGGAGCTGGGACCATGGAAATCACCCACTCGAAGGGAACCTTGTACCCTGCGCTTCAGCTTTCATCATTCCGGGTGAGAAAACATCCCCTTCCCTTGAGATATGTACAAGAAAAAATGGCACGCTCCTTTAGCGGCTGATCACACGGCCGTACTTTTATGTGTAGAACGCAGGTTGTTGTTGAAACACCGGCATGACATGCCTGCAAAAACTCGCTCCGACAGAGCATGATGAGTTCGAGCCTTTGCTGAGGTAGTGGGGGTTGGGGATCACCTGCTGGATATGGAACCACCTTGTGTCTGACTTTGTGCTTACGCTCAGAGAGTATGACGCCAGCCGCGAGTCAACGGGCAGCGGAGAGTCTCCTTGCACAGGTAGCGCTGCTGCTGCCGTTTTGTTTTGTTTTTGTTTGTTTCTCTCCCATCATTGGACTCTGCCGTCTGCCCCTCTGGCCCCTATCCTCCACTTCTACTGGCTAGATGACCCAACCGGGGTCACATAGGAGGGTGGGGTTGGACCCCCTACTGCGGTTCATGCCTGAGGTATTTTTATCGCGAGAAGGGTACAGCAATCCCTTCACTCGCGACTTACGAAGTCGATTATGGTTTACTAACAAACGAGCTTTGCAGCGCGGCGCTTTCATCCTAGACCAGGATTTATTTAGTGAGAAAATAAATCTCCCTGCCGGGACTCGAACCCATGACCCGAACCCATGACCTGGCCCTTAGCAGGCTGCGAGGCTACCCACTAGACCACCGGGGCGACCGGTGTAGCGGTGTACGCTGCTGTATACTCCGTACACAAGTAGTTCAGAAATTTTTTCCAATAAACACACCAATGCCCCCTGCTGCTTCCTTCTGTGAAGGATACTCGGCGAGTACAAGCTGGGCCAGCCAAGAAGCTCACTTTCGTTCTTTCGCGTCTCACGCCGTCGTTTCCACGAAATTTGGCTTGGAAATCGGTGGTTACTCGTATGAATGTGAAACAATCGGGAAAACGCAGATGCCAGAATTTTTCGAATCCGAGTTGATGAGTTGATTTAGGTGTTAAACCATCAATTGGCGGCGTGGTGGGGGATACTCTTGGTACTGAAATCAGAATTTAAAAAGTTTCACAGAATAAGATGAAGTTTGGTGTGAGCTTACCTGGGAGCATTGCGAGGAAAATGATAGTTGTTGCAAGGCTCACATCATCTTCCATCGAGAGTTATGGCCTCGAAAAGAATCCGATACAAAGCACAAGATAAGTCAGGACATGAAAGGTTATCGCAAAATACATCACGATTTTTACGAGTTGGAATCTGAAATTTTTACATGCGGTTCGTATTGTTAAAACCAATACAACTGCTAGCCGTACTTTTCTTTTTTTCTTTTTTGGTCTTCCTATACACAACAATAGGATCCCCATTTTTCCTTTCATAGGGCTACCTCATGAAAAACAAACAAAAAATGTAAAGTACGGCTATTATTGTACAGTCGAGGGCCCGCGATAGTGCGGGTATGTGCCAAGCCAACATACCCGCACTATAGTGGGCACCCGCACATTCGCGAAATGACTAGGACAAAGTACTGTACGCAACAAGCGAGGGACACAATGAGATGTGTGGCCTTTGTAGCAGCGTGTAGACGCCCGCGATTCGTGGGTGAGAGTAGAACACACAACCCAGCGGTGGAACCACATCCGTCCATGGTAGAACAGATCACAGCTACACACTTGGTGCATGACATGTACATCGCGAGAGCATGTTTGCGTCCGAAGTTATGTCTCAGCCCGTGCTGTTGCCCCAAGCCATTGCACGTTGGATACCCTTGAATCATTTTATGTTATTGAGAGGCTAGCATTTAGACGCCAAGCGCTTCATGTAGAAAAGGGAACACACACACGCACACACAACCGAGGAACTTGAAAAACAACTTTCAGAACCACTCAGAACTCTCGCCGATACCCACCCATAGGTGTGAAAAGCAAATGGGGGAACACTTCAAAAGCAGAGACGACACAAGCAAGGACCCAGCTTCTCAGCTCCTTTCACAGAATATCTCGACAACATTTATGTGGGGCTGGGTGGGGCGACACACGAAGGAAGAAAAAAGCGGCGACAATCCGCAAAAAATTGCCCACATTCCACACATGTACTGCTGTACTGCAGACACCCCGATACATTCGCTTCCAAAAAAAAAAAACACAACAGAAGAAACAATGCGGCAAAACTGCTCATTGCTCGCTGCCAAAGTACGCCTGACATCAGCCTGGCGCGATGGCTTCATTGCATGCGCTTCGATCATCAACATCCTTGCTCTCTTGAGCAAGTAGCTTGCCTAGTTCGTTCAAACCGCAGCTTGCCGCGTAGTTCTCGAGGGGGGCGAAGTGCTGGGAAAGTTCCGCGTAGAACGTTGGCTCAGCGTGGCCGCGCCCCCGACCTTCCGTCCCCGTCATCCTCGCCATCCTCTTCCTCCCCCTCTCTGTCCGAAGACTCATCCCCCTCCACAGGCTCGCCCCGCAACGCCGTCGTGATGCCTTCGGCCTGATCCATCCGCAGCGCCTCGACGACATCCTCCTCGTACTTCTTCCTCTTCTGCTTGATGCTCTGGACCGTCCGCACAGAGCAGTTAAACTTGTCCGCCACCATCTCTCGAGACACCCTCCTGTCCAGATCTCCCAGCAACTCCATCTTCTCGCCCAGATTCAACCTCGCGCGCGGCCCACTTCGGTCCGCCTTTCGGCCTCCTCCCGCTTCTGCACGTTTCGGGGTGGAGCCCCCTCCTTGCGCCTTCCGCTTGCCCGCAGCAGCCGTTTTGGCTTTTTGAGATGATACGCACGCGGCACACATGCGGTAGTTTTCGTTGTCGTCTTCCACATCCCTGCAGATGCCGTGTTGTCTGCCGCCGCAGCCTCCGCGACATTGGTGACCGTCGGGGGCGGCTGGTGTATGGTCGGGTTGCAGGCAGAGTTCGCCTGCTGCACATGGCATGGTGCCTAACCTTCCTGTTCTCATGGACTGTAGGGGTATGCTGCTGTGATGCGGTAGAGTAGGTGTGTGTTGTGTGTGTGTCGAATTTATGTGGTTTCGCCGCACTCAGGGCGGAGTGACGTCAGAACCCGCACAATAGAGGGGTTTCCCGAATAGTGCGGCACCCGCACTATAGAGGGTCCAAGTTGTGCCAAGGGATTTCACCCGCACCATTGCGGGCACCCGCACTATATAACCCGCACTATTGCGGGCCCTCGACTGTAGTTGTATTTGTGGATGACAGGTGTAGAAGTGCTGTAACCATTGTTGTTGCACATCCAAAAGTAGGACCAAGATACGATCCGAACGGAGTATCTTACTGATGGTTGATCAGCAAGAGACCCAACTATGGATGCGTCCCTCTTAGCCCCACCTGTGGAGCTTGGGAATCCGAGACCCTCGGGCTTGGTCTCCCTCGCCCCTTCGGCGGGACGCTCTCTCTCTTGTCTCTCTCTTCTGAGACCCTCTCCTCTCTAAATCTCAATGAAGGGAACTGCCAGCCTTTAGTAGTTGGTAAAGACTGCTGCGACCTGGGCCTCCCCCCAACGAGGGAAGCCTGTGTCCTTACTGGCGTCGACGAATTACAAGGTACTCTGTTGGTGCTAGAGGTAGAGGTGAGAGATGGCGAAAAATAAATCAGCCGTGCAAGCGCGAGAAGGCGGAAGAGGCGGAGAGCAGCCGGCTCGAGGAGCAGCAACGACGCCTTGAGCTGGAAGCCGAGTTAGAGCAGCTACAGCAACGCCTCGCCGCTAAGCACCCGACAACCTCGCTGGCACGTTGGACACTCTCGGAACGCGTGCCTGCTTCGCGCCCCTCGGGTGGTAGCAGTCCTCGGAGGGAAAAGTCGGATGACCCCGAGGGTGCCGACCGTGCTAGCAACACAAGCGGTGGTGACGGTGGCGATGATTCGGGCGAGCGCTACAACTTCTTCGGCGGCGAGGGTGGAGACGATGATGAGGACGTCCCCCCTGCTGCTCCCGGCCGGCGGCAGGGGGGTTGGGCAGACGAGGACGAATCCGAGGAGGAGCCCGAGGTTCCTTCATCTCCGGCTGGCGCGTCCATCGTTGAGATGCTGAAACAGCACCACCGCGATGGGACCGACCCTCCGGAATGGCTCATGTCTATTGTGCTGCCCGCCAGCTCGCGAAAGGTGAATGCTGTAGGTGGTAGCATGACTGCTGTCCTACACGACCCCAACTTTAGCAGTGAGGTTAGTGCCCGCCCGAACCCCCGACGTGACAACAGCACACCATCTAATTCTGCTCAACAGCAATCACCCATCCCGTCTCGGCAATTAGTAAACGATTTTTCGCCTAAATCCGTAAGAGACCCCACGAGAAATCGACAACACCAGCAGGACTAGCGATCCTCTTGTGATGCCGAATGCCTCACCTACACTCTCTACTGTTCGCACTGATGAAATCCCGTCATCTCACACCGCGGGTATACGTCTGCTCGTTCCGTCTTAAAACCCGCAGACCTACCCAAAGATCTTGGTTTCTCAGGGGCACCTGGGCAAGATGGTACAACTTTTGGCGCTATACCGTGCGCGTGTGAAACTGAGCTCAGTAGACAGCTACCCGGACCATGTAGTCGACCAACGTGCTGTGCGATACCTGTTGCAGTTGACCCAGGGAAGGCTGGAGTGGCGTAACGCAGAGCAGTTGGCTGATCTTCGTGCAAAAGGTGCAAGTGCTCGGCCGGTGGCTCCTTCCTCCTGGGCCGAATACTGTCACGCTCTTTACTTTCAGTTCTCTGCTCCCAACCGCATTTCCATTTTGGCCCGACAATTTGCCACGTTGGAACAGGCAGTGGATCGGTCCGTGGATACCTACGCATTGAGAGTCACACAAGCACGCGCGCTCCTTATTGCAGAAGCTACTCGATCCGCCCCTCCGAATAGTAGCCCTCACCAACACGCATGGGATGTATTTACCACTGCAACGTTTAAAAACGGCTTAATCCCCAAAATCAGAGTGGAGACTGTTCGAGAAGACGCAACTTTGAGTTTTCAAGAAGCTCGTAACCGTGCAAAGAAGCACGAGGCAAAGGCATTTCCCCCAC